CATTATATATGAGGAAACAGAAGTCATGACTATACACTTGACCCCTGGCTGATTCTCACGGAGGAGGTGTCACTGCCAACTTCGGATCAAACCGAAGCATGCTCTAAGGTCTTATTAAAATAAACAAAAGCACAGTCTGCATTTAATGACACAATAGTTTCTTAATTTATTTGCAGGCTTCTTTTAAAGATTATAATTGGGCGTTTGTTGGTTTTTACTTCTCTAATTTGCAGGGTGAAACAGTTTTGTCTTCGATTTTTTGCATTTTGAGATGTATATGTAATGAATTATGCTTCTTTTTTGGCAAAATATATACTAAAACATTGTTTAATTAATTAAAATAGTAGTTAATTCATAGATAGATCAATAATTAAAATAATCACATGCTGCAGCCCTAAAATTAAGTAGCAAAGTAGAACACAAAAACAAACATATTTTAACTGCACTTAGCATTACATATTGGCCTAATTTACTAAAGTTATATAAGGTACAGTGGGCTAATCATACTTTTCCAGTTAATATTTAATAATCTCCAGTTAGCATTTCCTGATAAGCCTTTCTCAACTATTTCATTGGTGAAAACAGACGGACAGACGCCAGTGCGTGCATAATAAAAAATTCACAATCGTTATTTCAATTTTGGTCATTTAGCTTTACTAGTAAAATATTTAACAGTGGCGTAATTTGGGTGATAAGGCATTGTGTTCCTGCAGACAGGTATGCACATTTCTTGTCTCGACATGCAAAGGCACATCTAGACGAAGCCCTGACCAGTTTGGAATGTGTTTTTTTTCTTATATTACTACGATCAAGCAAAAACTAGTTAGAAGTAAAGAAAAAGCAGCACGCTTTGGAGACAGCTCTTTAAAGTAGCCTCCCTCAATAAATAAACAGCCATGATAAGAGGAAGGACAGGGAAGCCTTTAATAAGACGCCTAAGATATTTCTGAGCACAAACAATGAGTAGCACAGTGAAGTGTTCTGCTGTGTTTTTATTTGCCTTGGGTCTAATAGCCTTTGGACTGAGTGTCTGTCATGTGCTTTTACTTTAACGAGCCGTGACGCTCAGCAGTATTTACACTGGTTGATTATTAAATCCAAGAATAACAGCACGATCCTTTTGTGTCCTCATGGAGACTGTCCTTCACAACTAAACTTCTCAGGAATGTAAACAAAGAAGCATTCTTGGAGACATACTGTTTGCTTCAAGTCACGATCAAATACAAATGTGTGATATTAATTTTTCCACCTTTTTTAGAAGATGGACACGGTATACAATGAACCTTCGAGTTTTAGGTTTGATCATGGCTGTCAAATCACCTTTGCACGCACTCTCAGTTGGCTAGAAAACCCACCTCTTTATCTTTTCTTTGACCTTGCATACTTTTCATTCTGAGATTTATTTGGCTGTTAAATATAACAACAAACCCTTCACAGAGGATACAAGAAGGCGAGAGATTTGTAGTGAGACAGATGCTGTCTTCATTTATGAGGCAGAATAAAACAAGGGAATATAAACCTAACCACATGACCCATATTCTTAAGTAAACTTAATTCCTTATGTTCTCTCAAAACCAAACAAAGTTGTTGGTAAAAAACGATGTGTTTATAAGGATTCCCCTGAGCTACCATACAAAAACCCATATGTTGCATGTCTGAGAATAGTGCACATGTAAACACACTAGCGCTGCAAAGAATGATCTATTAGTGGTCTACTTCATTTTTAAAGAAGCAAAGGTAAAACTTCTCTAATTTCTGCTACTTCAATATGATTTTTATCTATTTTCTTTACTCCTTTGTCAAAGTAAAAGTAATATATTTGAATTTTGAATTGGGAAAAAAGACAATCATATTGGTCTAACTTTTTTTTAAACCATTTTAGACCAAACAAATATTCCTTCGAGAAAGGAAACGACAATAGAAAAAGTTGTTAAATGCACCTAAAAAACAACCGCAACCGAAGCCCCTCACTGTCTGACGTGTGTGTAACCTGGGGGGGCAGCTAATGACAGGCAGGGGCATGCTGGGAAATGAACCTGAGCATCTGCCCAGGTTGGTGCACTGCTCCTCAGCCCTGCTCCAAGGTCAGGGCAGCAGATCGGAGCTGGAGCTCTCTCTCATGGGAAAACAAACTGAGTGGAGACAAACTGCCAGGAGTTCACTGCAAACAGACACCCCTGTGTGAGCCTCTCTCTTCCTCTGTCTACACACACTGGGGCCTTCTGCTGCTCATTAGTCAGATGGAGGCCACTCGGTTAGACCCTATTCTATAAAGAAAACTAAAAAATCCTAACACAGCAAAGGGATGAGGTTGAAATGATAATAATACCGAATGAATGCTTGGATGCAAGGACGAGTTTGGACTTTAATATTCCAAGGGCATTCGCCTTTATATTGCCATGGTCCAAAGACATCCTATCATTATAATTCTCAGAGGAAACAGTACATTTCACTCCTCAAAAGTGTATTCAAATGAGCTTGTTTTTCATTCCATTTAAAAGCTGATCTATCGAGTAAAGTGTTAAGGCTGTAAGCAGCGTCTCCAAGCTGTTCTATTCACAGCACAGATTGGAGATGGTGTAAAGGATGTTGCTGCAGTGAGGTGTGTATCTCTGTTAGCACATTTCAAAGTGAGACTTGCCTCTGGCACACCTTATAGTCAAGGCATCTAAATGAAGAAGTGAAAAAAAAAAGTGAAAAGACTGCAGCAGTGACGGGTTGCAAGCAAGACAACAAAGGTGTGACAGACATGTACACTCATATCTGTTGTGACTGCTATCAGTGTTATATAAGTGCACTCAGCAGTTATTTGGAAATCCTATATGCAACTCTCTTGATACATTTGGACAGTCCTGATTTAGATCTAGACAAGCTGATCGTTATTAAAGGATATTGTGTGTACAGTGAGTCTGCTGACTAACTGAACTTCCTGTTGTGTCCGTCTCCTCTTTAAGGACGCCTGTGCATAATATCTATGGCATCTCGTCAGGATTTTCACACTTTTTATGCACAGGTCATTTAAAATAACAGATCACTGACATAGAAAAGCAGCATCCTGCATTCAAGTCCAAATTGTTCAACCTCATGAGGAGGAAGCCTGATAAGCTGTGGTCTATAAAAACGGTATGTTTATTTAGAGCTAAGCTCAAAACCACCCTGTTTTCTCAGGTCTATGAAAGGTGTCAGTGTGTGAGTAAACCCTGTGTATATAAGTAAGTATGTATTTACTGTGTGTAAGTGTGTGTGCAGGTATTGGGTGTATTTAAATAGTCTTTATTTCAATGTTCTTCATTTCACTGTGCTGCATATGCCTGATATTCTTTTTTTGCATGCCTCTTTCTTCTTTTTTGTCTTTCTTTTAAATGTAAAGCACTTTGAGATTCGTACAAATTCAATAAGCTCTATACATAAAGGTGCATTGCCTAAAAAAACACCCATCCAGTGGATCCATGATTTGTCTCAATGGAGCCATAGTTTTTTTAAGGAATATAGACTATAAATTGAATTTTCAATTAAACTTTGATTCCATGCATTACATTACATGTCATTTGTTAGACGCTTTTATCCAAAGCGACTTACATACATTCAGTACTGTGGGCAATCCCCACAGGAGCACTTTGGGGTGAAGTGTCTTGCCCAGGGACACAACGACATGCTGACTGCAGTGGGACTCGAACTTGCTATCCCCTGATTCGAAGTCCATCACACTACCCACTGAGCCACAGCCTCCCATGCATGTGTTTGAATCTGTCAGTCGAACGGTTAGCAACAAGCTGTCAGTATATGAAGAGATACCAAAGTCTTATGGCAGAAAATGTAAATCCCTGGGGGGTAAGGGGCTCTCCAGCAAACTGCAGCTTGCCATGAGCTGCAGCTTGCCATGAGCTGCACATGACGGAGTGACACCATATGGTACCTCTGAGAGGAGGCAGCATAATGTATATGTCCATTATCATGAATTAGAATGATTTATATTTCATTGTCAATAACATTCATTTAATCAGCCTTATATTATGTATATCATATAATAGAAATAAATAAATAATCTCCTTCACAGGGGTTTCTTCTAACACAATCTTATCAGTATAGTCTATTGTGTCATCCTTCATGTGTAAATTAGATAATCCCTTTATTAAATCACCATGTCTAATATAGTCTGCATTAGACATGCTGTGATAGCACAGCAAACAGAAAACATGAGACTAATACTGACCTGCTGACTGACCTGACTATATGATACATTAATATTTTCCTTCTTGTGGACATAAAATACTAAACCAAAGAACAAGTAAATAATACCTATGTGCGTACTACTTAATGAAACCAAAAGCAGACAAGGGCTTCCTCCCTGGCAGATCTTGCTATATGGGCATATACACCCAGGCAGGCAGGGGGGTGAGGCTGCAAGTACACTGCATGCATCTTTTGTCTGGTAGTGCCGAAAATGAAAAACAAAAAAAACGAAAGATGAAGAAGCATGAGGGCCCCCTACGTTTCTCACATGCTCACTACAAATGATAATCAGTGCGCACGAATTTACAACTGCCCTATAGGTTCATTCATATTCTGCTCCAGTAGCCCGGTGCCAGATCCAATGCAGCTCGGTGTACAAACCACTGCACACACAGCGCCTGGGTGCGTCTCATTCATGTGTCCCAGGAGGGGGGGGGGGGGGGGGTACTAAAAGCCGTAAGCGTCGACCATAACAACCACACAGCAGCAGCCGAGCCCCTTGTGCAATAAACTGGTGTCATACATGACCCTAAGTGGACAGTAATTACAACCAGGATGTATAGTGTATTATTTCCAGCGGACGGTATCCCTTTAAATATTGTCACCTCCACGTTACTGCGCCTCTATCCAGAAAATCACGAAAAGCCATGCACAATGCGGGCATGCTGCATACACAAAGACATCAAATGTGTGAGTGAGTACATTTTGATATCATGAAGCACATTGACTCGTGGGTTCTTGTAGTCCATGCCTGCACAGCAACCCACCTGCTTGTGTTGTGTCGGTCAGATCTTGGCTCATCCCCGGGTACTCCCTCAGCTTCCTGCCGCTCAGGTTGAGTATCCCGGAGCACACGGCATCCTCCAGAGCCCGGTCCAGGCTGCGGGCCGTGTGGTGCTGCTGCTGGTGCTGGTACTGGCTGAAGCCCGGGGTCCAGGGAGGTCCGCTGGAGTAGTGATGGCTTTGAAGAGCCGTGACAGCTCCCACACCTCCCTGACTAGACGCCATTTTCGTAAAAAAGAAATTACTCTTACAATAATAACAGCGCACAGCGGCAGTATCTCCGCCCATGCGCATACGGGCTTCATTCCCTGGACGGACGCTAGGGGATGGGCTTCTGAGGTGGTGCTGCTGGTGATGATGATGATGGAGCTGGTGATGGTGAGCATGGTATAGTGGTGGCCATTTTAGGCTTTTACCCTTCCTCCACCTGCTAATATCAAACTCCCATCAGGGGACCCAGTGCAGCACAGAGGGGACAGGGGGCCCCTCTTGCAATCTAACATTCAGATGTCTTTAAATGAGGCTACCATGATGCCTGGAGGGCAGTGGATGGCATTTGACAAATTACAATTTAACTATCAATCAATCAAGTTTTATTTATATAGCCCAATATTATAAAAAAAACAACACATGTTTGCCTTAGAGGGGTTTCAAATCTGAACACCCTTTCTCTTGAGACTGCATCAAAATCACATAAACCTAATGCTAATGTAATGTAACCTTATACTCTGATGTAAATCCAATAGTCTGTATGATAGATTTACAGCGAAGTACAGCACCCATAGGGTCATTACTGGCCTACGTTTGTTTGTTTGTTTGTTTGTTTGTTTGTGCAATTATGGTTCATCATCTGCTGCCACTACTGGTTCGGGAACAGCTGCTGTCAAACTGAAAAGAGGAAGCTTTGAGCGAAATAATAATTGTTACATAGATTGTCACTTTGATAACTTCACAGCAGCCTATTATTTAAACAGGTTACTTCTGCATCCTAATGAGGTATTTCATTGTTCTTCCCTAATGTCAGATTAGGAGCAGTAAAGCCTAACGGTTTTAATTTTTCAAACAGTCCTCTGGTTGGCCAAAACACACTATGTCAATCCATGCTGTTTGGCTCAAAAGATTCCGGGTCCCTGGGTATGGGATATATTTGTTTGTGTGTATGGGACATATTATATAACAACCCTAATAATTGTTCATCTGTGGAATGTTCTCATTATGGGAATCCTTGCACCTGTTTAGGGAGTTGGCAGGTAAAGACATAGCATGGTCAACACACCATTAAAAATGATAGGCCAGAATGTCAAAAACACCATTAAAAATGATCTAGGCCGAAATATCAAATAAAGTACGATTGACTAAAGGAATTCAGGATGGTGGAAGAAACAATGAAAGTCAAGGTGAAGAAGGAGGGCCTGCCCTGAGACCCTCATGGTGTCTGGTAACTGCGAGCCTCATAAGAAAGGCATGACAACTGCTAAGAAATGAATATAAGAAGAAGCCTGAACATTGTAAAGGCAGTCCCTCAATGGACCGACTCGCGTTGGCTGAACTCTGTTGAATCTTCAATAAACTCTATTCTATTGGAACTCTTTTGACTCTGTTGATTTTTTGAAAGTGAAATAAGTGTTAACATAGTGGAGTCAATATCACCATACGGTGCATTTGAGACTTCCCCATTTCCAAAAAAAAATCTGAGATTTTCCAGAGTAAATACATTGTAATTACATAGTGATTATAACATGTACATTTTCAGAAAGCTATAGTCCCTTTCTCAACAATATATTTCAGTTAATGGAAAAAGTATTTGGATAATAATGAAATTATGGCAAACTATTTGTACCATGTCCACCCTGTCATGAAGTATTGCTGACAGGGTGGACAATGGTACAAATAGTTTGCCATAATTTCATATTTATATTATTTATGGAAGGCTCGCTGACAGGGTGGACAATGACAGGGTGGACATTTTTGGCTAATATTAGCATTTCATGAGCACATGGTGGACCTTCAGTTAGCAACATGATTCAGTTAGCAAGGTGACTGTGTACTGTTTAACAAACATATTTCGAATTTCTGAAAGGTTTTTATATTAATTAAATTGACATTTCACTATGACAGAGTGGACATGTTAAGCTTGACAACATCCAACTACACACATAATGTGATTACAATTTCGAAATAAAAGTTAAAAAACTTACTTTGCAACTAGCCAATGTCTCAGCCTCCATTGAGGAAAGACAAAATGGTGGTAGTAATGTCACTGAAAACATCAGAGGTTTTTTTATGGGGCAGTTACTCCTTAATGACAGGGTGGACAGCAAATGTCAGGGACACATGAAAAATGTTCAATATCATTATGAAAATAGAATATACATGATCAAAATGACTCGTTTTATCAAATAACTCGTTGTGGACAATAAAACCATATCATTTTTTTTTAAATGTAGTATCATTTAACCACTTATTACACACACTGTAGTTAGTGGGACATGCCAAAATCACGTACATCCAATGAAAAAATAAGGTATCAAATGAAGGAAACACATTTCAAGAGACTTATCATTGTACTAATATGTGTGTAAATGTTTGGCCGTTTATAATAAGACCTCAGAGTTTCATTATTCTGCTACATTTTCATGATAACTGAGTGATTCTGATGGGGGCACCAAAGTTACTTTATAGTGATATTGACCCAGTGTTATGAAGATCTGGAAGAAATCCGGCCCAACTTCAGAGGTTTCTCCACAACAATGGCCACCAGCAAATGTCCTGTAGACTCTCCGGTTGACTGGTCAGCCATATAATAATTTGTTGTTCCTATATACAATTCAAGAGTGCCAAGTCCATTCAAAATCTTACTTTTTGTTAAAATAGCATAGCATCAAAATAAAGTTATGGATTATAATGTTGATTAAATTATGTGTTCATCACTTTAATGTTGCAGTTAATAAAAGAGTAGCTTATTTGAGAAACCTACTAACAGGGAATGTCCTTCATAATAATACCTCACAGTCTATTAGTTTATGTATGATTTGTATCAATAATAAAAAAAATTGAAAGTAAATAGAGAAATAAATAGAGGTGGAGTAAAAAGTGCAATATTTCCATTTTGAAATGTAGTGAAATAGAAGTACAAAGAACCATATCATGGAAATACTCAATTACATCAAAATTGCACTCAAGTAAATGTGATTGGCTCCTTAATGTCATAAGAAAAGAGGCTATTGACATCATGGGAATTTAAAGAAGCAACACTTGTTAAAGTGAGCACAGGAATGATTCGACTACAATACATCACCTAAGAAAGACAAATGTCTATGATAATAAGAGAAAGTCTTCGTCATGAACAGTGGTGTAAAGTAATTAAGTACATGAATTGAAGTACTGTACTTAAGTACAATTTGACTTGAGTATTTAAATGTTGTGCTGCCCCACTACAATGAGGTACATGGTGTACTTGTACTCCATTAAATGTATTCAATACCTTTTGTAACTTTTCAAATTTTGATTAATTATTTGAATTGTTTGATTAATTATTTGAATTGTATCCAACCGTTAAATAAGACTTAAATCTTAAGCTGTGATGCATTATGCATTCATAATTATAATCAAAACATATAATATATTATTCTAAAATTGGCTAATTTGCATAATGAGTACTTTTACTTTTGGTACTAAAAGTATATTTTGATGCTAATGCTTTTCAACTTTTACTTGAGTAGAATTTGCAATGCAGGACGCTTACTTGTAACAGAGTATGTATACACTCTGGTACTTCTACTTTGACTTAAGTACAAGATCTGAATACTTCTTCCACCTGTTTTGACTACAGTAGGCCCTACGTCACCTGAAATCAAACGTGTATGATAATGAGAGAAAGTCCTGGTCATGAATATGTAGCAGTGCAGACTCATTTATTATTACCGTGCAGGACCGAGCAGCGTTCTCCTCACTCAGCTCCAGCCGGATGTCTCTGCACTGCTTCATGTTGTGATAGAAATAGTCGTCGCAGCCAAAAATGGTGAAGCAATAGCATGACACACATTGTAAGTTACTGTTTTAGCTAAGCTATATGAAGCTATGTGCATGCAATGTGTACGGAGAGTCGGTGCTTTGTGGCGTAACAGAAGATAATATTAGACTGTTATGTTAGCAAGCGTTAGCTCAGAGAAGCTGCATGACATCCACAGTTAGCAGATGTTAAGATAAAGATTTCTGCATCTGTATGGGTCGTGATATTATCAGGATAATTATCGACGAAGATACATAACCTGTATTCAGCATGCAGAGGTTAACGGTGGGTTAGCTTATCATGTCACTTGAGTCCAGAGATAGTGAGCTAAGCTAAACAGTGGTGTAGCTAACGTTAGCAAAGTGATAGCTCATAGTCAGTCCAGGCCTTTTAAACACCGTTTGTGCTAAAAATCGACCAAAAACAACGCGTGCTTTACCTCTGCATGAGAGGACATCTCGAGCATTTGTTGAATGGTGTTATCACGTTGAACCAGGTAGCTGTATATAATAGACTGAATTCAATGTGCTTGCTTGCAGCTCACTTGTTGTGAAAGTGTTGTGACATGTTTAAGCAGCTTGCAGTGTGCATGGGGTCTGCATACTGCTAGATATAGCTTTGTGTTCAAATGTGTAAAGTTGTAGTTTTGATCTTTTATCTGACCATAAATACATCATGATACACATAAGTAAACAAAACACACTTTGTGCTGTTTATCTTTGTATTGTTCTCCACTGACCCTGAAAGTGATGAACAGTTTGTGCACATAATCATAGAGGATATCCTTCATCTTTGAGACAAGGATAAAGATAACAGGATTAGAGTCATTTGAGGCGGGAGTGGTTCAGTCTGTAGGGGATTGGGTTTTGGACCGAAGGGTTGCCGGTTCACGTCCCGATCGGACCAAAAAATACGGAGTGTGGACTGGTACTGGAGAAGGGCCAGTTCACCTCCTGGGCCACTGCCGAAGTGCCCTTGAGCTAGGCACCTAACTGCTCACTGGCGCCGGCTAGACTGGCTGCCTCCACTCTGACCTCTCAACTGCATGTGCATGTGTGCATATAACTGTGTGTGTATTTGTATATGTATGTGCATGTTGTAAAAAGTGTGTACTGTATGACCTGTATAAAAACGCAGGTGTGTGTACGACAGAGTGGAAACTGAATTTCCCCCTCTTCTTCTTCTTCTTCTTCTTCTTCTTCTTCTTCTTCTTGAATGAATTAAAGACCTACTTTTAACTACCAAAAGCCAGGCTGTTAATACAAAAAGGTAAGGGGATTTGGTCAGAGATCTCATAGAGATTTGTAAGTTTGTCAGTTGTTAGTCATTTTTGAAATCTTATCAATGAATTACTTAATGATTGTATTCATTTGTTCTTCATATTGTTATTTTTTCCAGGGCAAGCATGGCTGACAGAAAGGGAAAACCTGTCACTCCGATCAAAACACTCTCAAAGAAAGAACAAAA